TTCACTTACGTTTGGAGGAAACAATATTTGGATTGCTTGGCATATAGTTTCTGGTCCCTTAACAGTTTCAATACTTCTTCCAACTGCTTGTAATGATCTTGTCTATTCTAGTTGTAAACCAAGATATCATAAAAAAAATGAAGACAAACTTACGGAGGAAAGCCTTGAACAAGACATGGTTTATGAGAGCTTGGAAAGTTGCCAGAGTATTAGCGAGACCAAAAGGCATGACTTTGAATTCACTCTGACCCTGGTGCGTTCTAAAGGCTATTTAATTAAGTCATCTCTCTTACCATATTTGGATAGCCATCTCTGATGTCTAGCTTGGAGAAGACCATAGCTCCATGAAGTTCATCTAGTAAATCGTCAATGACAGGTAGAGGGAACTAATCTTTCGTTGTTTGAGAATAGAGCACCCTGTAATCCACACAGAATTTTTAGGATCCATCCTTTTTGACTAACAGAACCGAAGATGAAAGAGGATTGTGGCTGAGGCAGATGATGGAATCCTCCAACATCTTTTGAACTTGTTTTTTTATCTCAGTCTTCTGGTGAAAGTAATATCAGTACGGTCGTAAGTTCATTTCAATTCTTTTTGAGATAGAGATGCAATGTGATCAAAGGCCCTAGGCGAGGGTAAACCTCGGGCTCTTCAAAGACATCCTTGTAGTGTTTCAGCAAGGCCTCTAATGTTTCATTCTATTCTTTGTTGGCATGTCCTTTGATTCTGTCACCACGAGAAGGAAAACTCTTCCTCCTTCAATGGGTTGCTTCTGCTTCAAACATTGTTGTGCTGTTGTTCCTTTTATGTTGGATAAATTTTCATGTTTATCGCCTCCTTCGAGGATTATGAGCAGATCACCAGATGAAACTTCTTAGTGGCATGGTCGAAATCAAAGACCATGAGGCTGAATTATTTCATCCAATCGACTCCCAAGATTATGTCATATCCACCTAACTCAATTACATGAAAGTTGTAGCAGAATATATATCTTTGCATCACCCATGAAACTTTGGGACACTCAATATTACTAGAAATCTTTTAACCGTTAACCACGATTTTCGTTTATGGTTTCTCTCATATCACCTTATTCTTTATCCATTTAGTGGCATTCTTGTTGAAAAATGAGTGTAAGTTTCCGCTGTCTATCAAGACCAGAATATCATGTCCCTCCAATGTTCCTCTGATTTTTAGCATGCTCCCTGCGGGTATTCTTTCAATGGCCTGAATGCAGACTGTGCTTGTGTGGTTCTCTTCTCCGTTGGGCAGTTCATCCAACGAAATCTCAACCTTGTGTTCGTGGGAGACTAATTCTTCCATGACCATTATAGTTTTGGTTCGACATTGATGTTCAGTGAAGTAATGATTAGTGCATTTATAACAAGCAATGTTTATTCTCATAACTTCATTTTCTCTTATTGAGTTCCGAGGAAACGCTCCAAATCTTTAGTACCTATGTTTCCTATCTCAATAACATATTAGGAAGTTCATCCCGTGAAGTAAGTGCTTAAGGACATATTAATGATAGTGTCCCTGGAGCAAGCCTTGCTCAAGCACTTGGTTGAGCATTCGAGGCTTAAATAGTTGTATCATATGCTAATGCTATAGCTCTGGTTTTAAGGCACTAATAAAGCTTGATGTGAAGAACCTCTCTGACAGCATTAGATGATGCTGTAGTCATCAAAGCTCTGAAGTGTTCGAATTATTCTTGATATTCTAGGATA